ACTGGTGCATGGGGTTATTCCTCCCCAGTTTCAGGACCCTACACTTCCCTTATCGAACCTCATGATGTTCCTCTCTGCCCAGCTCTCCAGCCTGTCCAGATTTCATTGAATGTCAGTGCAGCCTTCTGGCGTGTCAGCCACTCCTTCCAGTTTAGTATCATCAGCAAACTTGCTGGGGGTGCACTCTGTCCCTTCATCCAGGTCATTGATGAATATGTTGAACAAGACTGGACCCGGTACTGACCCCTGGGGAACATCACTAGCCACAGGCCTCCAACTAGACTCAGCGCCACTGATCACAACTCTGAGCTCTGTCCTTCAGCCAGTTCTCAGTCTACCTCACAGCGTCTGTCCCACACTTCCTGAGCTTACCTGTGAGGATGTGATGGGAGACAGTGTCAAAGTCTTTGCTAGAGTCGAGGTAGAAAACATCCACTGCTTTCCTCTCGTCGTTGTTGGCCTACAAGAAGGTCAGTGGATGCTGTGTACTGTAATCAGTTTGGGTAGTTTCTCAAAACCCCAATTTTCTGGAGCAGTTTTAATTTGAGTTCCTTGCTAGAATATCACACAACTTTCATCTCAAAGCTGATGAGGAGAGACAACTTACATTTCTTAGAAGGATGGAATAGTATAAAGCATTATTAAAACTAGGTATCTTAAAATGTAGAGAAAGGTCAAATGGCTGTAGAGAGGATTATGGTCTCCCGTGTTTTGAAGTAAATTTCCTAAACTGTCAGTATGACCGATCGTACTTTACAGTGTACATAAACTTAAGATACCAGTTTAATAAAGTCGAAAAAGTATGTTCAGTGACTGAAATCATGAAACTGTGTCTGATATTTCTTTCCACCCTTCTTTTAACAGGTTTTTCTGATTATACATTATGCCCCTTTGGTGAACTCATTGGCTGAGGTTATACTTAATGGTGACCTCTCGGTGTTTTCTTCTAAAGTTGAGCAAGATGTACAGAAAAACTCAGTAAGTGTCCAACTAATCTTTAATATTTTTTTTAGAGGCAGAGAAAATATTTGAAAAATGGAATTAGGTATCTGGAAACTGGTAAGCTAAGGTGATTATGTTTAGGAGAGAAGAGCAGCAATAGGAGATTTCAGCTTTTGTGGTTGCATATGATACCAGAGAAATGCTCTGTGCAATTTACAGTATTATGTTCTTGCCAAAGTTGCAATATTTTTGTGCATCCATATATATTTCAGGTAGTGGTATAAGAATGTGTAGGACACAAATCAGAATACTTAGTTGCTTCTGCAGGAGTCAGACACTGCAAAGGCTTCTATCATTTTGGTGGGACACTTCTCTAATGCAGTCTTCTGTGTTCAGTTTTTGTTATCAGCTCTTCGGTAGTGAAATAGAAATGAGTCATCACAACTTTCCTGTGAAGTTATTTGCTTATGCAACTTGTAGTAGAAATGAGAGACTTAGAAAAAAATACCTGGCCTTATGGTAAATTCTTTGGATATAAGAGGAAATAAAGATTTTCGTCTGATATTCCCAATGTAAAACTGATTACCTCTGAAAGTGCGCATCAGCGTGTGCGTAATAGAATATAGAGCAGCCACAAATAGGTGGGGGTGCTACCACTTTGTCATTGCCCTTGTACCTTCAGATTTAATCCTGTGTAGATATTGCTGGATGCTGTGGTTAGTGTTTTTCTAAGTGTGTCATGTATATGACTGGTTTTTTTCCCCTTTTGCTGTGGATTTCACAGTTTGTGAAATGCTTGCTTGTTACTTTTTAAATGCCTGTTTGGGGATGGTAATAAGGAGGGCATATGACCTTACTTTGGTTAAGAGACTTCTGACTGCAGTTCTGTCTGAAGGTTGAACATGGCCCCTAGTGTCTGACCAGTCAGCAAAGAGTTACTGACTGTTTAATTTATAACAAGCAGTAGACTGGTTCTTAGGCATGTTCTTTCTCGGCAGTGGCTATAGCTCTGAGAGTTTCAGGGGGGAGATATGCTTCAACTCTCCCATGATACAAGTTAACTTTTCCAAATTTCTTCCTACAGTGCAGTGGAAGCTGTGTGGGCTGATCTTGGCTGATAGCTTTTGGGTTCTGGTATTTTGTGCTGTTGACCCTGATATTTAGAATCTAATCTTTTTTAGAAAAAACTACAGTGGAATGGTAGAGCTGCCTGAATGCTTTAAGCTAAAGCAATCTATTACTTGTGTTAGCAAATGTCTGACCTTGTGCTAGCTGTCTACTGAACGTAGAGTGCGTTACTTGTGCGGAAGCAGCTTTGTTACTAGGAAGTTTGTGGCAAGAGGGTGGGGCATCAGTTGTTGCAGAACTGAGATTTTCTCTTCCTGTCATAGTTACTGTACAGAGTTGCAAAATATCTGTAGCATATGTTTGTGTGCTTGCACTAATGTTAGGAATATTAGGGGTTTCCTGTAAACTTTTGTTCATCTCTTCTCTTATGTTTGTAATACTGTTAAGGTTGCTGCTTCTTACTGATCTTAAAGTTGCAGCCTCATGGCATGTAAACTGGAAGTTCTGTTATACCTGAACAAGTAGTGAACAGGAGGGGTATTGGCTTTCTAGGATAGACACTTAGCGAAACTGCTAAAGGTGGAGCTTTGTTACAGGGAGAGCAGAGTGGTAGTACTTTTGGTGGATGAAGAAAAAACTTCCACGGGAGAGGCTTTAGTTTGTAGTAAATTCAACCATATTCTTCAATGAAACCTTGGAGGGAAAAAGCTGTGCTGTCAGAAAGCCTGCTGGTGAAGGTTGGTTATTTGCAGAAAAAACCCATTTGCTTCTTAGAGCAGAAAGTTGATTTTTTTAAACAGTTAGCCATTTCAGGGGCTGTTTTTTGGACTGTGAGGTGTATCAGGATCACTGCAAAGTTATTACTGTAGTGTACTCTGTTGCAAAGAAGTTACAAACTTCTGTTGAATAATGGAAGCTATTTCAGAAGCTACTCTCAAATTGCTTGTTCTGGGGTTAATAGAGAAAAGTAATAAGCAAGTTTTTTTAATTTACTTTTTGACTTGAGTTTAGAATTGTGTTTGTTCTCAAGTCAGGCCCAAATTTATCTTTTACTACTTCCTTTCTGTTATAATTTTCCATGGTAATCATTCTGATACTCTCCTAAGCTGCTTGTTTTGTGGATATTTGTGTGTTACAGTGAGCCCCAGTTATCTCTAAACCCCTGCTCTGTGCCTAGCACTGCTCGTCTCTTGTAGCTGGGGCGTCTTGATATCTTTAAGTTGAAGTGTAACTGTCAGTTTCTAATTAACATGTAGTTTCTAAAACCTGAAGTTCATCTTATCAGAAAGATGAATTAAAGTGGAATGAGGTGTAGAGAGAATGGACTGAGGTTAGTAGAAGCAGGTCGCATGTCCTCATGATAGGAGACTGAGTGAAGAATACTTCACAAAAATAAAAGCTGAGAAGGGTTGCAGTTACTGTGTATAAATGCAACATATCCAAAGTTATTTAGAGCAAAAGAGCAATGGTAGTTGTCACGACAGGATCAAATCGTGCTTTTTACTGGAAATCAATTTGTGGAAAAAATCGCCAGCAGATCTAACTGTTGATAGCTGATGGGTTGGCAATGATGTACCCATGGAGATCTGGTGAACATCATAGGGCAGTAGTTGTTGCCCAACCTCTGTTGAACAGGTCCTCCACGTCAAAGTATCGCAAACTAAGATACACTTTTCTTTCTGCACTTTTCTCCTGTATTTCTGGTTTTACGTGGCATCAGAAGAAACACTAACTCTAATCTGATGATGAGAGTTGGGTATGTGTAGCTAACAGAACGTATTTAAACTTGTTAGCAGTCATCACACTAAGGTTACCTTACTTCCTGTGAGATCTGTTTTCCTGCATGATTCGGATGTGGGCCAGTTCTACCTATTTCATGTTTCTTGTCTAACCTACTTTCTCCTTCCTGTAAAAGTTGTTACTGGTACTGCCTTGTTTTACCAGCACACATTGCATAAGATAAACCATACTTGACAATACGGTTGAAAGACATTTTACAAGTATAAAATAGCAGTATCTCAAACTGTATAATCAGTTTAGATAAACCATTTACTAAATAAATTAATTTTAAGTCTGATTTTAGAATGTTTTGAATATATAGCCTTGTTATATTTACCAGAACAGAATATATATGTTGAGTTTTTCCTCAGCATTCTTTCTTGAGATGGACCATACCATGGGTTGGTGCTTATAAGCACATCTCTGTCTACTGGTCTCTTCTGTTAAATTTGCTCTTATGGCTAACAGCATATTAGAAACGCAAGGATGTTAAGTACATGCATTCTTCATAAAGAAGGTAGCTACAAGATTCTAGGAAGCAATTGTAAGAAGTGAATGCAGGAAGGGGAAAATGCATTGTGCGATTTGCATGCTACTTTTCTTTTTTTCCCTAAAGAATAGAACTTAAATGCGTTCTTCCCTTTTCTTATGACTTTTCTGACCAGAAGTCATCAATAAAAGGTAATCTGGTTGTAACTCTGGTTGTTTTATAACCTTTATATGTTGCAGTTTGGTCAGACTAAAAATACATCAGAGAGGTTACTTGAGGACAAAAATGTGATAAATTTCACATTGTGGGTTTTTTGATATTGTGAAAGATTCCTCCTACTATATAGTTTGCTTCAGTGCCAAGTGTAAGGTGACTTATGCAAGATTTCTATAAAACGTTTTTAAAAAGCCAGAAGATTGAGATACATTTTTCCCTTTTGACTTGCAGAAGGCTTCTTCCCAGATTTTTCCCTAATCTCTTCTGGTTTTGTGTGTGGGTGTTCCTTACTAGGTGAAGGGAGGTCTTTTTCCAAACTTTTTCTCTGAGGTCTCTTTGATGCGCTCATCTTCAATGCTTGTTGTACTTGTCACCTAAGGCAAGGAAGGGAATCAGTTTTGTATTTAGTCTTACTACTTTTCTCTTGCTTGCCCTTAAATTTTTAACCCTTTAGCCAGTGTCAGCTAAGTGTGATTAAAGTATTGAGGTCTGAAACGTAGTGAAGATTCTGTAGCCGTCTTGTTCAGCATAAACCTGTGTGGCAGGAAGCCCCCAAACCATGTGTTTCACTTCTCAGTAACAGAGAGGTTTGGCTGATGAGTTTTTATAGGTCTGACTGAGAGAGAGCATGTACTCTGGTAATTCAGCTGGCAGGCCTAACAGGTGAGAAGTTAGCTCAAAGCATCACAGCTCAGAAGCAATCTGCAAAATTGGAGGAAACCAAGTTTTATTAGTCCTGCTAGTTGCAGAACTTCTTGTAGTGTCTTGTGTCTTTCTATAAGAATACATTGTACTCTGTTTTTAGGATGGCACAGACGCTTGGAAATACTGATTTCCTCTGGGATAGATCTGTCATCTAAATTTATTTTCTTGCTCTGTAAATTAATAGTCAGGAAAATCAGGTGTTGATCAAATACTGTTTGCTTTCTTGTCCAAAACCGGTGATAGATAAACTTATCATATCTTTGGGTAAAACACAAGAATATTAAAATTTAACAAATGAAGTGGTGTCGGTTTTCTGGACTTGATGTGTGAACTAAAGTTTCTTTATCAATTAGTTGAGTGTCTTGCTGTAACTCAGTGTAAACTCTTCAAATTTACAGGCAAAGTCAAGTATCAGATGTTTCATAAAACCAACAGAATCACTTGAGAGGTCTCTTGAAATTAACAAACAGAAAGGGAAGAAGAGGGTGCAGAAAAGACCCAACTATAAAAATGTTGGTGAAGAAGATGAAGAGGAGAGGGGATCTGAAGATAACCAAGATGACCTAGATAAAACTAAAGGTACAGAAGTGAGTTCAAAGGGCATCAGAACAAGCAGTGAAAATGAAGGTGAGTATACCAGCAAAAAAAAAAATGATGCTTACAGTTTGGATACTTTTATTATGTGTATGGACCTAGTTGTGATCTGTTCTCTTGTTGCACTAGGTAAACGTGGGAGTATTAAATTTGTTTCAGTCTTTGACTATTTTTTCCCTCATGTTAAATAATTCTATCAGTACATATACTTCTAATCTGATTAAAAACTATGTAAGTGTTTTAATGTCTTCCTGTAGTCTTCAGCTTTTATCACAAGTGCACGCCTTGCACCTAGCTGACATGACTATGGGGGACTTTATAAGTAGACTTCACCACTTTGTAACTTTTCCTTCTGTGGTAAGGCAAATGGTGTACCCACTTTACCGTTGTAAGGTGGTCAGGAGTGTTTTATGCATGTTCAATGATAAAATTCAACAAGTATGCTAAAAGTGACAGTACAACAGTAGAAGATGATATTAAATAGTTCAAAACTGAAGAAAACATCTTTAACTTTTAGATTTTTTTTAATTGCATGTTTTCAGGATTTTTGATGTAATGCTAACCTTGAGAAGGATTGGTTTTATAGGATGAGTGGTCTTACAGTGTATTGTAACTGTTTATTGTACTAGTTAGTAACTATTAGAAGGATGTGCATCAGAAACTAGTCTCTATTTCAAGACATAAATTGAGAATAATATGGTAGAATTGCATGCAAGCAATTGAAAACAAGACCTTTGTGCTTTGACAGCCCTCTCCAAACATAGTTGTATTTTGATTTAGGTACACAGCCTGTTTGAGAAGGCTTTCCTTAAATGGTGTCAAATGCATGATGATGTATTGTCTACCATGATTTGAAGAAAATATTACATGATTTGCTGTTTAAACTGTTGCATTTAGTAGTCATCTTTGTCTGAATTCTTAAGCAAAAGCTGGATTTGTTCCCAATACTTCTACTTAAAGACAATAGGTATGAAGCACTCGGGACCAGGCGTCCTGTTTGCTGCAATTGTAGAGACCTATCTACACCCTCTGTGAAACTTGATACCCACCCATGCCCCAGTCTCACCAGCATTTTCACAAAGATTTTTTTTTTTTTTCCCCAGAAAGAGGTTCTATGGTTTTTTTCTTGCTGTGGTTTGGAGGGGAGGGGGATTACTATTGCTTGTTTATTTCCCAAAATAATCTGTCTTTTCTTTACATATATTATATGTATGTATAATTTTCTTATAGCAGTTAAATGACTTAAAGGAATGTAAGCAAGCTATTTTATTGGGAAGAAAATTTGCCTACATCTATTCATCCATTAACTTTTCTGAGGTTATACCTCTGATATGTAGTTGCATCAGTCACTTTAAATGCAAAACAGAAAATACAAAAGAGCTTGTGATAACTGTTGGTTAAAAATAGCAAATTTCTTTTTAGAAATAGAGATGGTAATCATGGAGAGATGTAAACTATCAGAATTGTCCATCTCTGCTGTGACAGAGCAGAATACAACAGATGAAGAAAAGAGTGCCGCTGCCTCTGGGAGCGAGATGACAAACTGGAACAGGTATAAAGGAAGTGTAGTATATTTTGCTGGATTGCTTCCTTACTTGCTTTCCTGTTAAATCTCTCCCTTCTCTTAAAGGGTGTTTAAAATCTGCCTCCAATTAAAATTACAGGGGTCCTTGTGGATTACAAAGAAGTGAGGCAATAGGAAAATGGGATGTGGCACTCTACTGGTCGGTTTCAGAGATGGTCCTGTTCCTTCATAATGTTGTACTTTCCTTTATGGCAATTGTGATGCCTTAAGTTGGTAAAGTTAAATTACAGAAAAATAACACAATAAAACCAGATTTTAAATGTTTTCATTCCAGAATTTTCTAAGATGATGTTTTCATAATGATACTTATAGTCACATCTGTCAATTTTGTATATACCTGTAGGGGAAACCCAAGGAAAATTCCTCAGTTCAGGGCTGAATTTTGCAGAATTTTAGTAGTAGTAGCTATGACTAAACCCTACTAACCTATGTACAGTTTCCAAGGTCCGTTAGTATATCTTAGGGTTATTGAAAATGCCTCTTGGAGATGCAGCTTTTAAGTGTTTCTGGGAACAGGAATTGCCTTGACTTAAAAATTTAAACTTGGATATATTAAATAACCTTAAGACACTTCCTCAGTAAGAATTTTGTGTTCTTGTTATTAGAATGATAAAGAAACCAAATGTGCCATCTCTGACACGAAACTAAGTGCAAATGTGTCCCTTGGGGAAATGCACATGTTTAATAGGATTTCAGATTTATTTTTAAACTTGGGAAACGCTGCCTGGTATTCCCAGAATTTCATTCAGTCTCTGTTGTAGCTTTGATGTAGCTTAGATTACATTCATTAATAAAGATAACATTTAATTTCATTGTAAAAGTGAAATTGAACCTTGATTTTTAACTGGCTTTAAAATACGTTGTTCTAGATTATTGATACTTTCACTAAAATATGTGCCAAATGGCTTTTAGAAAGAAATTGGCAGTGACTGCATTGAATACTAAAGCAACCAGGATGCTCAGGTCTTGAAAAGTGCAGAATACTTACATGTGAGATGCCAATGCATTTGGCAAATGTCTGCATTTCAGGACTCTCTTATTCTGCAAATATGATCTGACAGCATCCTGCATCTTTTCTGAAAATAAACAGTGTCAAAGAATGTGCAGAGAGAAAGTATTTTTAAAATAAGGATAGACCTTGTGTAGGGCATTTCTGGCCTTAGTTTTGTACATGAATTTTTGGAAATGTAGGTGGATAAGCTGCTATGGCTTTAGATTTTGTGTTATTCCATATGCAAATGTAATATTTGAAACAGTAGCTAAATCTCTCAAGAAGTTTGCTCAAGTGTATATAGCTTCTTTCCTACACTGATTGGAATCACTGCATCTTGTGGGTAAGGTGAGCCATATGAATAAGGTGCCATGTGGTAGCGGAAAATGCAGTGATCTTTTATTCCGTGCTGGAAGTAGAAGAAACTTCTGTAACTGGAATAATCATTAATGATTGTGATGATAGTGATTCCTGATGTGTTGCAGTCTTCAACTGTGGTCATGTTCCACAAGAATAAACGGTTTGAAGAGTACTTGTCTGGCATTTGATCTGTTTCTTCTATCAAGTCACTAGTAAAAGGCTAATAAAGGAAAAAAATGCTTACAGAGTTAAATAAGTTTGAAAATGCTTCCTATATAGCCTTTACTATTAAAAGTGGGTTTCAAAAATTGTCCAATAGTTATTGAAAAATAAATGGAAAACAGCACAGTTTGCAGTTAAAAATCTGTAGCTGTAAAAGGTAAGTCAAGCTTTCACTTTCCCTTAGCCTTTGTACTGCTGTGAAGAACGTAAGAGAAAGCTTAAGTATTTCCAGTGTAATTTTATTTTGATGTGCCTTATTACTGGAAAGTTTAAGCCTAAAGGCTTGTTTTAAATTAACTTCCTTTTATGATTTGCTACAGAGCAAAATTTTTTTTGTTTTGTGGGTTTTGTTTTTGTTTTTTCCAGGATGCAAAACCTTCATGGTACGTTGTGCCTTCTGTTGCTGCTTTCTTATAGCTGAAGTTTTTCTGTCCTATCTTGTATTTAGTCTATATGAGGACCTGTTGATGAGTGGGATTTCTAGAAGTTGTTTCGATTTCAAATTATTGCGATTGAGACTCTGATAATGCAAATAGATGCTGTGAAGAAGCATGTAGAATGAAAATGATTTCACTGCTGTAATCATATTTTTAAAGTTACATAATTTCACAGATCTAAGTAGTATGTAGGGGAAAAACAATGAAAAATGCATTAGAGATTACAGAAGTCATTTAATACCATGTAGTATTGGTATTAATGGAACAGCTAGTGTTACTTCTGCAGTTTTTATCTCCTAAAACATTGGGGTTTTTATAAAATTATAAAATAAATATTACTTTTACATCATAGGTCAGTTTTTAGGGTAATTACCATCTATTGTTGTTCTGACAACAGACCTAGTGTTATCTAGCATTTCAGTATTTTGATAATCTTGAACCTGGATATCTTGGTCCTCTTTCTTCTTTAGACTTTGAAGCTGAACTCCCTTTGCTATCTGTAAAGCACACTGTTTCAGGGTGACATGAGGTTTGTAGGGCTTGTTTAATGCTTAAGAATACTGAAGGCACTCTTGGTTTCAACATTGCTGATTCTTTAGGCTGTTGTTGCTTGGAGAGTTGTGTTATTTTGAGATCTACAATAGGAACATCATGTGGGAAATTTGGCTTAGGTACATACAGCAGTGTTGAACTTGGGCAAAGAGGGATCATAACTCTGTGGCCTTTAAGTGTATCGTAGAGAATGCTTGTATTCCAGCTTCAGAAATGCATAAACATATGACTGCAATGTCACGGACTGAGCAGAGGAACAGTGTGTCTGTTATTATCATCATAGCCTTTTTTTAGTAAAAGAGCATGTTGTTGAACTGTGGGTGGAGCTGATAGGAAGTGTTAAATACTTGTTATGACTTGGGTTGGGTGGCTTACTGGGACACATTAAGTGTGACCACGAGGGCACCACAGGTGTGGAATAAGTATAGAAGTATGTTGTGTTCTGATCTTTGATAGCGCTTCTGACCCACAGCTAACCACAACGATGAGTTTGTAGTGGATGCTTCCTGTCTGCTAGGTATGAAGATAGGAAAATATATTTTTTTGTGACTTTGGGTGTTATTTTAATCTATTTTATTTGGATGGAATTTAGGTAATATAAGGAATTTTTTTTCCTTTAACTGTTAAAATCCTTTGAGAGGTAGGAATTACTTCTTTTCAATCAAGGTTCTAACGTCTCTTCTGGTGACTGACAGTTCCCTAATTATTTTTTTTTATCTGGGCCATCTGTGAAAATGGACTTAATTTCTACTTGTGCTCTGAACTGATTGGATGCAAGCCAGCTTAAGACAAGAAGCCAAGTTGCCTTGCCATCAGGCTTGTGCTAATATCAGCTGAATCTCAGCCATATCTGATCTGTCCAAATGACTTCTGGATTAAGTTGACTTTTCTGGTCTGTTCAGGGTACAGGTGAAGGGTGAACTTGGCACTGTAGCTTTCTGTATATGTGTCATAGGTGACACATGCTTAAACCTAGGAAAACAAAACTCCTCTGCAGTCCAAAGCTTTCTTTTTTCCATTCAAATATGTTCCCTCCTTGTTCATTTTTCTTTCCTATAGCTGTTCAATGGTAAATTTTTTGACTGATTGTTTTAGAATAACCAACCTTCTTCCAAACTTTTGGGTGAAAAACTGCTTTCTTGTAATAGTAAAAGCTTTTCAACTCTGTATAGTACATGAGCTTTAAGGTAGTCTTTTTTGTTGGTGTGTTTTTTTTTTTTTTTTAAATTCAACAGTGATAGCAGCTCCTGGAAGTTACTTATGTATACATTTACACAAGCTGTACATATTCTGCATACATATTAAATGTGCTGCAAAGAACCCAATAAATGTGTGAACATTTCTTGGGAAAGCATTATGTACCAAATCCCATTAAAACATCAGAATTAATGTCAGAATTTAAATAAAAGCCGTGGCTATAATCTGAATACTCTTAAACAGGTTAATATTTGTTTAATGCCTGAAAATGTGCGTTGTTGTAAATTTTCCTCTTCTGTTAGCTGCATGTAGAACAAGACAGGTACTAATTTTTCTGTAGATATGATCTTTTTTTTCCCTAACTGTTTTAAAATGACTACTTTCACAGGCCTTTTCTTGATATGGTCTATAATGCACTGGACTGTGCTGAAGATGATTACTATGCCCTTTTTGTGCTCTGTCTTCTATATGCAATGTCACACAACAAAGGTGAGCAATTTTTGCCTTTTCCAGAAAAAACTGACACACATGATTTTGGACAGGCATAATCTGTTTGTAATTTACGTTTTTGTGTGCCTTAAACTGTGAGAAATTCATTACATGGGGGAGGGAGAAATAAGTATGCTCTAACTAGAAACAGTTGCTAAGGATCACCTTTTGCAGAATGATTTGATAGAAAGCTTTGTGAACATCAGATAACTATTCTTCCCTTAGGTTTCCTGGAATTGGATTAGGGTTATTGTGTGTTGGTTTAATGAATCTTGATTTCAGTTGAAGCCTGCTATATTCAATCTACATATATATGGGATCCAGTTCTTTCCCACTTTGCATATACTGTGATTGCTGCATGTAAGCCAAGCATGAAATCTTAGCAAGCTTGTCCCCATATATCAAAATCAAATCTTTCTGTACTTTAAATATATAGATAGTGCACGAGTCCTGGGAATCGGATGTCATTGTGGAAGTCATGTATTGCCTATTTCTGTCCAGCTTTGACAGTCCTTCAGTAGTTGTTTTTATACTGCACAATTCCTCAACAGCCGCCTTCTCTATTGTGCCGTAACTCACTGAAAGCTTGTTTAAGTTGTTAGTGTTCTATGTCATAATACGTCTTGCACGTCTCACAAGGAGCCTGGACTATTTTATAGCGAGCAAAGCTGTGGTAAATGTGTACTTCGTTATAATTCAGACAGTATAAGAATATGTAACATTTTCTAAGGGATGATTATGGTTAGCTTTTTTGCTGTTTGTGTGCATTTTAAATAGATTCTTTGTGGAGCAAAAATGTAAGCATCTCATACATGTGAACAATCATGCATTTCGGGAATTGAGAGCTGAATTTAACTCTGCTTATGAGGATAGTTTCTGTAACATACTAGTAGTTTAAATGAATCAATTGCTACTGTAAACTGAGCAAAAGAGCATCAGGTGTGATAGCATGCTTAAAAGTAAGGATTCTGTTCTAGCTCAGGGTACCTCTAAGGGGCAAGTAGAGTGGAAATCAGAGTCTTGAAGGATCTAAGCTGAGCCACTCCTGTTCTCCTCCATCCTCTTGATGGCTTTATCTTTTTCCAGGAATGAAGAAATGCTTTTCTGAGATTGTAATTTGCAGACAATTTCAGGGCTTTCACAGTCTCTTATGATAAGAGATAATAATGCAAATAATATCACCAAAGATAGCACCACAGTCTTGCCATCTAGCCCTCTCTGACTTGCATCTCTTATTTCCCACCCCCACCCTGCAACCAATATACTTCTGCCAGAAAATGTCCTTCCCCGAGGGACTTTTGGGCATCCCTGTGCTAGAAAACCCTGATGTCAGAGATGGATTCTCTTCTCTTAACTTTCATTAGTTGAAGCTGTGGATAGCCAAGATCATTAGTTGTAACTGCTGTAGCTTCAGAGAGTCCTTGGAAGTCCTTCAATGTCATTGTAAAGAACTAAGCCTGCACTCTAGGAATGTATTTCTTAAGGAGGTCTTCTGTTCAAGACCATAGTCCTTCAGCCCACTGTATTTGCTTTCAGTCACTCTTCAATATCCTGTTCCCAGGAAAAAAAATCTGGTCTCCTCTCTTGTTTCAAAGATGGTTTGCTTACACCTATAGTATTGTTGTAAACAGTGAGGATTGCAGCAGATCCAGCCTTTTGCTGCTTAATTTCAGCAGTCTTTGTGCTGTTTATTTTTCACACAACATCCAGGGTTACCAGGAGAAATACAGCAGGCAGTGAAATACCTACCTTTTAAGAGACTACAAGTATCCTGGCCCTAAAACTGGAGATACCTTTTAGGCATTTACGGGTTCAAAATCTATGCTCCGTTCTTGAGTGATCGCATCAGCCCTCTCTAAATTAAAAATTCTTTAGGCTGTACTCATTGGCTTTCCTTGTCAACAATTTACATTAGTCTGTTGTTCTTTGGAAGCTATTTTCCTTTCTCCCCCTATCCTTGACCCTAGATCTTAGGTGCTAGACAGATAATTACATCCAGTTTTGGTCTCCACTGTCTTTCACCAACCCACTCCTCTTGTGCCCTGTAATAGACTTCTTTTGGCCTTGGGGGCCACAGAATTAATGGTTTTCTGCTTGTTAATGACCATGTCCTTCTGTGAGAGCTTCATCTGCATATAGATATTCTCTAAGAAATGTTACTCGCAAGCAGCTTTCCTTTCCAGAAGGAAAACGGTAGCTCTTTACTAAACTGTTAGATTGCTTTGAACACTAATATTCTCATTGCCCCGGTTCCTTAAATGCTTGCTTCCCTGCCACCCCTTTTGTCAGTCTCATGACAGACAACATTTGAATCTGTGTCCTTAATCTTCAAACAATTAACATTAATCTTCCAAATACATACACTTAGTGAAGAAATAGATCAGGTATCACAAATGGCATTGTTATGTAGAGTTAACTACAAGTTCAGGGTTAGAAGAAACTGTAAACCACAATAGTCGTCTTCTGGTTTATGAGGTTGTTTACTGTTCTTTAGAACAAGGACAGGGACATCCTCAGCAATCTATAACTGTATTCTGTTCTAAGAGGTCTTACAGTAACTGGTCTATTCTGAGAAATAACTTTGCTATTTTAGAGAAATAGGTTGAAGAAAGAAGGGTTTACTTCCCTTATACAAGAAGTCAGTGAGAGTCTGTGACTTGCATTGGGGAGGGTATTAAATAAGAGGTACTAGGTACAAAATGAAATTCCTATATTTTAAAAACATATATGAACTGATCACTTGGTACCAAAGCAGAATTTCAAATCAGACTTTCATCTTTTCCCTTTTAGCCTTTATGCTCTTCAGATGTATGGCTTGACTTTGATTTGATTTAGATGCAAAGAGGAGTTCACATGCAGCAAAATGGTTTAGATGTCACCAACCGCTTTGGAATTTGAGTGTCTTCACCCAGGAGGCTCTATTTAAGGCTGAGATTTTTCAGTGATGCATGTGGTCTTTCTGTTGTTCCTCCTTTTTCTTGTAATAGAAATTCAAACTAACCTGCCCAGTTTTGTATTGCTAATTACACTCTTTGGAGAAAACTGCTACGGTCTATTAAATACTTCTCTCTAAGCATATTCCCGTTTTCTAATTTACCTTTCTTTCTTCATCCCCCACAAAAGGAATTGACCCAGTCAAGCTGGAGAGAATTCAGCTTCCAGCTCAGCATGCTGAAGAGAGAAATTCGTATAATCATGTACTTGCAGAAGGGCTCATCAGGATCATGAATTACGCTGCACAACCAGGTATCACTTTTCCAATATTTGTTTTCTTGCCAAGCTGAAATTTTTGAAATTAAAAAAAAAAACAAAAAACAAAAAACTACCTAGCCTCTTCTCTTTGAGGCAAAAGCATCTGTTTAGCATGCTTTTCGATGAACAATAAGTGGATATGGTCTGTGAAAGACAACTGTCAGGTTCCCTTGGTTGTTGAGGAACCACAAACTGGTTTTCTGACGAATAGTTGTTTTTTTACTAAGAACTGTACATGGATCTGTTGTCTTAATTCCTATTTTCTGTGGTTTTGAATTAACACAAATGATGAGATTTACAGTGTTTTCAGCTTTATGTAGGATTTCATCCTGCAGATATGATCTGCAGCATGTTTGCTTGTAAAAGTAAGTCTTGAAAACTGTATGGTACTATTTGCTTATAGCTATTTCTCTCTAGAGGTGATAGCAAATTTTCCCAAGATTTTCTTTTTAGTTGCAGTTTGATTTTTCAGTTCTGAACTGTTTTGCAGAAAACGTGGGGTATTTTCCTGACTTCCACTTTTTTGTGAAATGATGGATATAAGGCTCAGTGACCACAGAAACAATTTTTGTTCGAGCCACAGCTCTTCCCCTTTTAAAACTTCAAAGTAGTGGAACTGGTTTTCCCCTGAAACTGGCACACTATCAAATTCCTGACTGTCTGCAGAATAAAATCCAATGCTTGTTTGACTCACAAGACTAATCTAACAGAGTATTAACTTGTTATGCTGATGTGCCAGTCACAGATTAAAAGTATGTTTATGTGTAAAGAGGTCGTACATACTGCAAAAGGAAAGAAAAAGAAATTAATTTGTTTAAACTTCAGGGGAGGGTTGGAAATATTGTGGGGTTTGTTAAGCTTGCTAGATGCTATGTAGAACACCTCCTTTTCTCTTCTTTTTGGGGGTACTGACCTTTGTATCTTTAGTTTCTGGCAGCATGGTGCCAATGTAAAATAGTAGATAGGAGTTGGGGTCAAAAGCTAAGATGTCTGTCTCTTGGGTATATTGTCTTAGTATTGATCACTGAGCTCAGACTGTACATTTCTAGTACCTTTTTTTTTTTTTAAATCCTTCTGAAGCTATAAGCTTAAAATCTCAATGCATTCTTTCACTCTGACTTCTCTAGATTCTCACATCCAGGCTGTATCTGAATCCTTTGGACTTTCTCTATGGAAAAGCTATGCCTTTTTAATGTGCTATATACAAAACTTCATTTCATCTTGTACACTATCCATGCCAAACGTTTGTGATTCTTACGTAATTGTAGTGTAATTCAACCTGTGCTTCAGATTGATAAAGGCATTGGTTTTGGCTTCTTTTCTAATAGTTTTAATCTTTATTGACTTCTTATTGCATGGTTCTACTTTAAATTTTCTTCTGCTTTAAACTACTCTTCCAGTTTTTTGTTTTGTTGAGGTTTTTTTTTATAGCCGTCAGCATTGTAAGCCAGCATCAGGACTCATCCTTGTCAGACAGGGTGTTTATGATAGAGGAGCAAAGTTTGACAATTGCAGAGAAGAGTAGAAACATTTAAGAACATTGGGTAATGAGAATAGCAATACCTAAACTGCTACAGTTTTGTGTATTTTCTCTTCATAGATGGAAAAATCCGTTTGGCAACTTTAGAACTTGGCTGCCTGTTGCTGAAGCAGCTTGTGTTTTCTAAAAATGGCAGCATCATAAAAGATGTTCACCTTGCTTGCCTTGAGGTAAGTATTTTCTGTCAAATTACCAGTCACAGCATTACATGTCTTTGAGTCTTGTAGTATAGTTGAATAAATTTGTTTCCCTTCTGATTGCAATATGCATAAGTGTGAAATCTGACCTTCTAGAAGTTTCCATTGGTGGCTTTGCAGTGAACATAAAGAATCAATACCCCATGTTCTGCTCTCAGCTTTGCTGTTACCTTGCTATTTAAACTCTAACTTCTCAAGCAGGGTTATGTTTAATGTTTTGCTCTGAGTTTTTGGGTGTTATTTGAAGTGTAACTTTTGAGTAACTGTTATATTTACTCACTGAAACACAGTTATTTTATGTTTTCTAGGGTGCGAGGGAAGAAAGTGTTCATCTCCTTCGTCGTTTCTATAAGGTATGTATGCAAAATGCTGTAAGAAAAAGCCCTTTACGTAACATGGAACTAGAAGGAAGTCTGCAGCCCAGTCTGTGTATAGTGCCCAAGGCAGCACTTTTTTTTAAGATGAGAACTCCATATTTGTGATAGAGAATGAAGAAGAACCTTTAGATGATTCCTCTCCTTTCCTGCCCTTCCCATACCACACTGACATATGGCACAAAAAGGCTGTTAAAAGTCTCGCAGTGTTTGTACTGGAGGTCAAGTTAGCAGTCATGTGCTTTTGTTCCAACTGCGATGTATTTCATGGAACTGAACACTATTACAACATTTCTGGGATTTTATCATTTACACTAGTATGGAATGTGTTTCTTTTTGATGTTACTTTATTTGTTTCTTATCTGAAATGATGATCTAAAATTATACTTAATCTTTTTTCTTATTAGAGACCTCTGCAGCTTTTTGCTGCCTTTTTTTTTTTTGTATTGTAAACTATGAGAGAAGTAAAATCTTTAGCCCTAGGTGTTAACTTCTGTATAAGGAGCAGTACATCCATAACAGATTTCAAGTGTCTAAAATCTCTTCCTATTTTTGTTAGAATTCTCTTGAAGAGTGTTTTCTCAATGTGGCTTACAAAAAATAAGCAACTTGTGGTGAGTTGACCCTGGCTGGCTGCCAGACATCCACCCAGCTGCTCTCTCTCTCACCCTCCTCAACAAGATAGAGGGAGGATGTAAGATGAAAAAATTGTGTGGTTGAAATAGACGGGGAGATCACTTACCAATTACCTTCATGGGCAGATAGACCCAACTTGGCAAAAACTAATTTATTGCCAAATAAAATAAATCTAGAGAGTGAGAAACAAAGACAAATTAAAACACCACCTTCCCCTCACCTCTCTCCCTTTTCCCAGGCTGAACTCTGCTCCCTTGTTCCTGATTCTTCTACCTTCTCCCCGTGCTGAGTGGTGCAGGGGGGATGGGAAATGGGGGTCAGTCCATAACAGTTCATCTCTGCTGCTGCTTCTTCCTCACACTTTTTCCCTGCTCCTCCATGGGCTGCAGTTCTTCAGGAAAAAAAACATGCTTCACTGTGGGTCCTCCACAGACTGCAGTTTCTTCAGGGTATATCCACCTGCTCTGGTGCTGTGGTGTGGATGTCTGCTCCACCATGGTCCTCTCCACAGCCTGCAGAGGAATCTCTCTCCCTTTCTGAAATGTGTTTTCCTAGAGGTGCCATCAGTGTTGCTGAAGGGCTCAGCTGTGCCCTGCAGTGAGACTGTTGGGAACAGCTGGAACTGGCTGTGTCCAGCACTGGGCAGCCCCAAGCTCTCCTCCCAGAGTCCACCCTGCAGCGCTGCTGCCGGGTCCTGGACGGGAACACCCAGTATGTAATTAAACAAAACCAAACAAGCATGGCTCCACAGTCATAAGGATTAACGATAGGTCCATATTGCCTTTATTTTGAAAGGGAGAAGAAATCTTTCTGGATATGTTTGAAGATGAATACCGGAGTATGACAGTAAGTGACACCCCTTCTGCCCTGCCAAATCCTCAAACCCAGCTACAACACAGAAGCAAGAACAAGTACTTACTGATAACTGCTGAGAATGCTGGTATCTTTATTTCCAGGAGTAGAATAGCAAAATGTGGGTGGAGTTTTTTGTGTCTGAGGAGTTGTGCCTGCAGTTACATAAATCGTTTATGTGAAATTTCACAGCTACTTATTAAACAAAAGCCCATTACTTTCTGAAAGTGAGTATACAAAAATGACTTTCTCTTGGGAAATGAGACATCGGATTTTTTTCTAGTTACTAAACAATATGAAAGTCTTCCTATATCTTTCTGAAACCCAGCAAGGTTTCAGTTTTGAGTGGTGCTGCTTTACTTACTGGTAGAGAACAGGGTTCCAGCAAGCAAATATTGGGGCCTTTGTCTCATCTAGGAGAGGTACTGCCTGTGCTGCAGTACCAGCTGTGAAAATTTTAAGATTGCTAAGCTTAATCTCAGACAGTTTGTATTTAACTTGTAAGCATGTTTTCTAATGTGAAAATTGAAACAGACAATTAGTTTCAATTCAGATAAAAATGGTTTGGGTAGTCAGTTACAGGTGTTTTTTCCACAGTGGTACAGGGATTTAATGAGCAGCCACTAGTTGTCTTTTTGAAAAAGCACGATCTGTAGCTGGTGTGTTGCAATAAGTCTTTTAGTATGGGAAGCATCCTGCACATATCTTACCAGCCTAAATGATAGAAATATTTAGTGAAACATTTAGTTTCTTGGCAGTTAAATATTGTTGTACTTTTAGATTGAGAAGTGGTACCAATGCTAGCATCATTTTTATGTTACAAGTTCAGTATATATGTAGGTTTTTCTGTTGTATCTCGATTTCTGAGACTGCATTTGTTTCATTTACCATAAGACAGGGCTGCACCCTGCAACTTGAACTTTGTTTTCCTTGAAGCATACTTATTTGCCTAGCTAGCAAATGACTTGCTGGACAGGCTGATTTAAGTGCTAGGTAACGCTCGTCTGACAAGATGATATCAGTTGTGTAAATAACATGATACAGAGCTTCTATGGAGGCAGAAGTATATACTTGGTCTGTATGAATGACAAAGAAAGGGAAAAGTGTCTTCAGTAATGATAAATGAGAACAAGTTCAAAGGAGCAAGTAAATTGAACACTGTAGTCAGTATTTTTGCTTTTGGCAAAGGGTTGTTTTTAACATTCTTTGTCTTCATGATATAAAATGCTGTTTAAACACGTGTACGCTCATGTGAATTGCACCTGAAGTAATTATTTACTTGTTAGAAATTTTAGTGCTGTGTTCTCATTTATTCTCATTGTCTAGGTAGATTTCTGTATCTTTCTACAGATGAATTGAATTTGTTAATCCAATGTTTTAGGCACTGAAGATTGTTCTGAGATCAGAAAAACTGGCTACAGGCTATTTTTGAGTTTGTATGTGTGAAAGGCAGCAGTTCAAGACTGCACTATGAAAATTCTGGACCTTGTTTGAGTCTGCTTCATTTATGGTACCTGACCAGGGCAAAGTGGCAAGGAATGCTTCCAGTTGCAGTTGACTATTTTGAAATGCCTGCATGTCTGCATTTTTCTGCTATGCAGAATATCATACAAGCTGTGGGAAGGGCTTTTATGTTTTAGCTGTTCCAGCTGGCTTTCTGTCCAAAAGAAGCTCGTGTCTCCAGTGAATGTGTTTATAATAGAACTTCTATAATTGCCCAAAGGTAGAGAAGGATAGATATTTCAGACATCATTTATTCATGAAAATAAGCAGCCATGTAAGAGAGAGACTCTGTTAGAGGCAAGATTTAAGGGCGTTGTCTAGTGTGAAAGTTACTGCATTGTTAGACACTAGAAAGTGGTTTTTGGAGCGAAAAAGAAATGGGAAACTTTTGATTTTAAGTTTTGACTCAAATTTGTAATTACTTTAAATCACAAGCAAATGTGGCAGACTTTGGGGTTTTAGTACTTACAAAATAGCTTTTCTTCTGTAATCTTTCAGAGTTTTTTCCTGTGTTTTAAGTATGGAAACTTCAACAGTGTGTTAGGGAATGATGAGCAAATATAAAATAGAGATTGGATGTAAGGAGCTTTAAATAAGATAGATGGTATTAAAAATTCTCAGAACTCTGTAACAATTTCTTCCTCTTAAAATATGCAACCATGAGTTGTATTTGAAAGTAAAGATGCAAATGCTTATTGTTCTATGTAGTAATCAATATTAAAATATTTTTATAGATTAAACCCATGAATGTAGAGTACTTGATGATGGATGCCTCAATCTTGTTGCCTCCAACGGGGACACCACTGACTGGTATTGATTTTGTGAAAAGATTACCTTGTGGAGACGTGGAAAGAACACGAAGAGTGAGTAAGACTATTTTTCTTACATTTGTTCATGACAGAATGATGCCAAAGGCTTTGAACAGTTCTAGAAATACAAACATTTTTCCTTGCAAGCTGCTTCATTGGAAGCTTCATCCATAAAATCATAAAGACTTGAAGAAGACAGACCTGTGTGTAGAGTAGATAGTATTTACCTGTCCCAGGGGAGAAACTTTTTCTCTATGATTTCTTGTGTCTAGTCAATTTAATATGTTCTTGTGCTGGAGTTTTAATGTTTTAGACTGTGGAGAAATGCTAAAAGGCATTTTAGTGACGCTTATTAATATATTGTCAGTTTCCTTTCGTGATCTGGTATTTCAGTCTATCTTTCATTATATTCTTATAGTAAGAATCTCCACTGGAAGGCTGGCTGGCTTCATATTGCTTGTGTTGCTAGACATAGCAAAAAATCTACTCGGGAGTGTTCATCTTGCTGAAAAGTAATTAATGATAGAGATCTTGAGAGTGAGGAGAAAAATAGCAAAATATCTGGTTTTGACTGATACAGTCTGTAGAGGTGGTACTGACCTGAATAACAACGTCATTATCAGCAGTCTTGGAATAGTCAGTTCTTGGCCCTTATCTGGCGGCGTCCTGTAAGCCTTGGAGTGCCAGTAAGTCTTAAAGATAGATCACTGTACGACACTATTGTTTGCAAAATGCTGTTCTTCACGTAGCTTTGCATTTTATGTAAGTGCATATGTAAGTATATTCACATACTCTTGAAGAAAAAGCATATTTCCAGGAATCTTCTGAAAACCTGTGTGTTCATTACATGTTATAAGCCACACAACTTTTGTTTTCACAGCAAGTTAAGTTTGATAAAGTACAGTGAATCATCTTGAAAAGTATTGTTCTTAGAAAGCAAAAATGCTTCCTAGAATTCTCTCTGAGGCATTTAACAGAATGACACTTGAAGTGCATGTTAATGGAAACTGACTGCTCCATGGTTTTTCGTGTGCTGAATAAGGAATGGCTTAACTTCTGTCAGTGGAAATTAAAATTTCTGTAAATTCGTTGGGGTGGAAGGGTCTTTCTCATCAGTAAGAACTCCCAGAATGCTTCCTTGTTGGTCCTCCTTCCCCTGATCACATTGCTCTAGAAGTTTTAGAATTTCTTGGAATTCCTGTGCTGTTTTCTTCCAGCTAAGCTGCCTCTCTTAGGCTGACTTGCCGTAACAATATGCTGAACTTCAGGTGTATCTTGTGACATTGCTGCTGCTGCTGGAGGTCCTTTTTGCTGATAGCTTCAGACGGATAGTGCTTCAATCCTGAACATCCCATGGCATGATTCTAAAAAAAGTTCTCAAGTTTTATTTCACTAGCAAGTGAAGAAGTCCCGTACTTTGATTATATCGTGAGTTCTTCGCTGTTGGATATCAGATCTCTTTAGGCTTTCACTTCTTTCGATATAGAAAGTCCCTCTAAGTGGCAGATCTTTTTGTCTTAACAACTTTAGGAGGAACACTCAGAAATAGATGTCTCTGAAGTTATCAAAGGCACACTTCCAAAATCCAGACAGCCACCTCCTCTGACTTAAAACATTAAAAGGACCAGAAGTTGTTAAGCTGCTTTCTGAAGTCAGCTACTACTGCTGGATCAAGCCTTCTGCCCAGAATCAGATGTTCTTTTGAATTGTTGATAGTGCAGTTGCTGCTTGTTGGTGTCATCTCTTCCTTCTGATTTCTATAGTCATAAAGATGGCACTGCTTACCAGTCACAGAACAATTCCAACTCATTTATGCACTTATTTGGAAAGTAATGAACGGAATAGGTCTTGAACTCTGTACCTTGGAGTACATAGCAAGAAAAGACTTTGAGAGAAGGTTTTGAACTACCTGTAAGAACGCTATTTCATGGGAATGTAATAAGATACTGGTAGGTTTCCCTGCAAATTGCTCTTTGCACATGGTACGCGCAATATAGAAATGAAGGAATCAGCACAAAGTATATGTCGTCATAATACGTAATTCTTTAGTATAGGTAGCAATTTGTATTTGTTTCTACTTAACCAAGAAAACAGAAGTCATCTGAAAAAAATTCTGGGCCACTCAACTGCTCTGCTGTTTTATTGAGATCAAATAAAACATTATAGGAAGTCATGAATCACATGCTTCTGGGTTTATATTGATATGGCTGGCAAACTGAGGGCTTTCGGTATTGTAGGAAGCACAATGTAGTTCTCTCTTCATCTGAAGTTGGTTTGTTTTTTTTTCTTGCAAAGGCTAAAGTTTTAATTTTCTTTCCTACTCCTGTAGATTATTCTGCAGTAAATGTGATGACATGTTTGTAGATGTGACGTTAGTTTTATAGAGAATGTACATGAGGAAGATTAATGCTCTGTCCAGGAGATACAGATACCCTTGAGATCTTTGCTATGGATAATCATATTACCCTATTAGATTTCAACAGCATACCAAATTAATTTGCTCTGCCATCAGTTAATGGAAGAGTCACATACATGACGTCCCTCTCTTCATCCCTGTTCTGCCAGAACTTTCTGAAAGCACCACCAGTATGATAGCTGGCCAAGCACACACGTTTCTTGTTCATGGGAGCCACAGTTCTGTGGATTTTTAAAAATAGAGGAGTGAAGGGGTTTGCCTTAAGGCAGTTTAGATTTGTTTTTCTCAGTACTTCCTGAAATCTGGGAGTCCCTGGGCAATGCAGCTGTTCCATGAATTCGATGCTTTTACTGTAAGGCAGGAGTTAATTTACAGCATGCCACAGAATTACTGTGTAGGAAACTCTTTTAAAAAACAAAACACTGGAAGTAACAAAAAATTATTTTTCTTTTGCTATACTGAAAACACCGTTCTTGTAGTGGAAGAGGATTATAAATGGTGCCTTTCAAAATGTATCTAATAAAATGATTGTTCTTTGGCACTTTAATCTTTACATACCATATGTCATTAATTTCTAAGTCAAAACAAGAATATTAATTTTGCAGAGCAGCTGTTGAAGGTTCCTTGGGACTGGTGCAGCTTTCAGAATGCTCTGCCCTCATGTAGACCTTTGGAAAATATAGATGAAGCTGTCTGAGAATGCTTCGATGAATGTGGAGAATTAAAACTCAAAAATCCCCACTGTTTTCTCTCAAACGTTTAGACATCTTAGCTAGACTCAGCCAGAAAAGTTATTACTCTGTAAGTTCAAAATGTGAGAGTCGCTGAAGGTTGATTGTGTAGTTTTCTGTAGCATTCAAGTAGTGTAAATACAGTCAGTCTTAAAATAATGCTTAAAAAAAATAATCTAGGATTGTTTTTGCTTAAACAACTCCTGTAATCGTTTGCCTGTAGGTCACAATCTGTGTCAGTGTGCCAGCGGGATAAAAGCTCTGCTGCTTCTGGTTCATTAAAATAAATAGCATGTTTCAACTTCTTCCATATTGTTTTTTTAAATAACTTTGAAATTACATTCTACTTTCTCAAAATAAAAAGTAGATTTCCTGCATGACAACAAACGCGGGGTTTGTAAAAGTGAGTATGCATTTGTAAGATTCTGTTAAAATATCTAGTACTGAGTGCAGCAGCCTTTAATGTTCTTTTTTTAATTTCTCAAGGCAATCAGAGTTTTCTTTATGCTCCGTTCTCTATCACTGCACTTGCGAGATGAGCCAGAAACTCAGTTACCACTCACAAGGGAGGAAGATCTGATAAAGACAGATGATGTTCTTGACTTGAGTAAGTAGTCTCTCAATTTCCTAAGTAGTCTGAGACATAGAAAAATTGCTGGCTTTTTTTTTTTAAAAAAAAAAATTAAAAACCCCAAGTAGCTATCTTGTTTGTGTAATTGACTACCAAGGATGATTGTATTAAGTTTATCTTCTACTGGATTTGGGATGCTTCTTGAGTTGGTGGGATTTTTTGGGAGTGGGGGGTGTTTGTTTATTTTGTTTTAAAGAGACTGTTAACAAATATTCCACAGTTTAAATACTAGCACATAAAGTATTTGGAGTCCTTCATCTGGTTTCCTGATATGTTAGTTTTCTGAATGAACTGATCCTAGGAGGATTTTCTTATATTCTTTCACCTATTCAAAATACACTTAGACCATTCATGAACTTAAGAGAATGGAGGGAATTACTCCAAGAGATACACTGTGCTTTTTTACTGATACTCAGGTTTGGTCATCATCATGCACACCCCCACCCTGGAGTTCTTTTTCTTCACATCTCTTCAGCCACTTTAAAGTGGGCCTATGGAAGCTTTTACTCCATTTTAATTGACCAGGATGCTGAGCTATTCTCAAGGGGAATCAGTCTGTAATGCCCAGAATGACCTTGTGGTATTAAGTAGTACTTACGAAGTAAAGACAAAGTACGTTCTTTCTGCAGTATCATAGAATTCTACTGCACTCTCCATACTGAACAAATAAAAAAAAGTTGGAAGAAATAGAATCATGAAGTATGCTATTTGCAAATTCAGTATACCTGTGTTCATTTAACATGAAAATGTGCATCTCTAGCTGACCTTATGTGTTACTAAACAGTGTAATTTCTGGAGTAACTCTGACCTAAATCATAAAGCTGTAGTTTTACTGTGTCCAGCACTGACATTGTTTAAGAAACAGTAACTTGTCATGTTTTAAGTTAATCTTACTATAGTGTGAGACATTTGCTCTTTGTTTAAAGGTTTAAAATATGTAGAGAAGAGTGGTTTTACTCTAGAATTGAAAAGAAAGTGCATAGTAATATAAATACTATTAAGTCCATTTCTTGTAAAAAAGACCTAGAAGAATTTGACATATTGGTGTTAGCTGATAAGTAGTTAACTTTTGTTCAGGCAGTTGTCTTATTAAGAACTTGCAGATACCATTCGTAGTTTTAGAAGGCATATGATTGTTAAAATAAAGTGTGTGTATTTGCAAGGGTTTTAATTTTTGAAGGTTCTTTTTCTACAAAAGAAGGAAAAAAAAAAGGCTGATGTTTCAGATGGTTTTTTTTTGTTTGTTTCTCGATGTTTAAATGCTTGTTGGTCTTTCTTACTCCAACTGAAAAAACAGTTGCCCTAGTAGGTGTTACGGGATTATGTCCAGTATATCAGACGCTTCTTTGTGCATCACAGAATGACAGAATGGCAGGGGTTGGAAGGGACCTCTGGAGATCATCTAGTCCAACCCCCCAGCTAAAGCAGGTTCTCCTAGAGCAGGTTGCACAGAGCTGTGTCCGGGTGAGTTTTGAGTATCTCCAGGGGAAGTTCTCCTCCCCCTCTACTCTGCCCTGGTGAGGCCACATCTGGAGTATTGTGTCCAATTGTGGGCCCCCCAGTTCAAGAGGGACGGGGAACTACTGGAGAGAGTCCAGCAGATGGCCACAAAGATGATGAGGGGACTGGAGCATCTCTCCTATGAGGAAAGACCTGGGGCTCTTTAGCCTGGAGAAGAGAAGACTGAGAGGGGACCTTATCAACACGTATAAATCTCCAAAGGGCGGGTGTCAAGGGGATGGGGCCAGGCTCTTCTCAGTGGTGCCCAGTGACAGGACAAGTGGCAGTTGGCACAAAGTGGAGCACAGGAAGTTCTGCCTCAACATGAGGAAAAATTTCTTTACTCTGAGGGTGACAGAGCACTGGAACAGGCTGCCCAGGGAGGCTGTGGAGTCTCCTTCCCTGGAGATATTATCAAGTCCATCAAGAATGTTAATTATCTGAGTGAAGAGGAAACACTGAACTCAAGTGAGCTGAGCAACAATTTTGTGATATCAGAGCTGCTGTGCAGTAGCTTGGTGGATGAAATCCAGATTAAACCTTAAATAAATAAATTCTATTTCAAAATTATTAAAAAATATTAAATTTAATTTTTAGAAAATATATTTGTCTGCAATACTGAAAATGTCAGAGGACAGTCCCTCTGGCATAAAGTCCAAGCCATGCAGCTTAGAGCAGTGAAAGGTTTTGAGAATTTACTAATTTATCTATAAATGTGGAAAGAATGCTATCAAAGAGTTAACTGAGCTTCTAAAAATATGTCTACAAGCTATAGGATGTGGACAGGCTTTTACTAAATAAATGTAAGCGTTAGGCTACAATGGTTGAGAAGATACCAAGATATCAGTTCGGTGTTTGCATTTTTGGTAGTTACATGGCCGATGGTGTGGAAGACTGACAGTTGAGTCACCACAATTCCTGTTTGTTGAATTTCTGTATTATTTAAAAGATTTAAGAAAATGTTCAGGGAAAAGACTTTTTAAAATGTGTTCTTCAATAGTTGTATTCTGTCCTCTTCCTACTGATACTGCTTTAGTTTGGTGAATTAAGTGGAATGAGCTTAATGCATACTCTACTTTTGGTCTTTCCTGAAAAGCTTTCCCAAAGAGGATGAACAGCATAAGATGTTAATTAAATTGTGCAATTGTTAGTTATCAGGTAAAAAATTATGTCCAAAATTTAGTTACTGTTGGTTGCTGAAGGATTAGTGAAATAGAATTAACTCAGTTTCCTGTTTCAGTGACTTAGGTATTTATTGTGATGTTGGCTCTTTTTCAGAGGGTGAGATGAAATAATGAGTCAGCTTCCACTGAAAAAAAAAAAAAAGTGGTTTTCTTAAGTTAACTGGAAATGCGATTATGAAGTAGTCATTAGGGTTTTTAATAACATATTGAACAAAATGTAGGTCTGATTGAAATACTGTTTCCAAATGTTATTTGTTCCTTCTCCTCACCCCCCCACCCCCCAAAAAAACCCGGAAAATAACACCTTTTCTCCTTGCTTATCTGTTAGTCTAGAGAAATGCTGACCGCTGTCATTATAAAAATTAGTGGACTGCACTGCAGGTATTGTGCAGTTCATTGAAGGTGTCTATGACTTTTCATTTCATTGCTTTTACACAGAATATGAGGTATCCTTTTCTTGGAACATGTAGTTTAGACCATAGATTATTAATACTTCACTTTGATATGTGTAATTTTTATTACATGTCTGTAATGACAGATTAATTGCTAAAATAGTGGTCAATGAAAAGAAACCTCTCTAAACTGCTTCTCCTGGAAGGGGACATGTCAGTCAAAACTAGATAATGTGTTAAGCATCGCTGGCTCTCATTGTGTGTTACTGCTATTGGAATGTTTGAAAAGAGGATGTTTTTCCCCAGATAATCTATTTCAGAAACTTAGTGGTTAACATGCTGATGTTTTTAAATTAAAATTTTTGATTAAGAATTGAGATCACTGGTTTTTTTACCAACTAGGTGTTAACTACCAAACTAGTTTTCAGTATGAGATAAATCAGAAGACAGGAGGATCCATGTAGGACTTGCAGAATGTCTGAATGCACAAATATATGTGTATGTGTTTCTTCTATTCTGTGGACAGACAGGAAGCTGTTATAGATTACATCAGAGTTGAACCTGAACCTTTTGCAGAGATGTTTTGGTGGCTCCAGGTACACTCCTGAGATACTGTTTAGTAAACATCTAGTGCAGATAATAGACTTCACAAACAGTATGAATTGTATTAAGAAGTGTTACACACTTGAAGAGTATTACACTTGTGTCTGTTCCTTATGTGTGCTATTGTTACCTATTTAAGTTTAAATACAGAACATCCACATAATGATGCCGGTTCTGTGCCATGGTGTATTCACTGCTTTCTGATCTTTTCATAGAAGATTTTAGTCTTTGTTTGGGACCAAAATATGTAATTACAGCCATAGATTTTTCAAAGCATGACTCTTTCCATATGCTTCAGCATCTATTAGTAAACAAAATCTTTTCTACAGCTGACAGACTTGCAGAAGTTCAGTTAAACATATCACCTACCCCACTATTGGTGAGAACAGCCTGTTTGTGAAGAGGGAGGCAGTCAGTCAGTCTGGGATCTCAAAATTTTGAACAGAGTTCTAGCCTATTTCAAAAAAAAAAAAAAAAAAAAACCAAAACAAACTGAAAAGGGCTGCAAAAAGCCCTTCTTGTTCAGTTTTCTCATATCCTGTCTTTGAGTCAGAATCTGTCTTGAACAATCAGTGCCTGATACAGAGTTTCATATGTTGGCTTCGCAAGACTCTTCTTTCCTGGTTAGCTAGAAAGGCATAGACTTACTTAGTCTTCAAGTCGATAGGTTAGACCTGTTCCACAGAAGCAGCACTCCTATCTGTGTCCACAAAATACGATCATGTTTCAAGTGTTTCCTTGGAGGAGCTTTTGTTGTCAGTAAATTGCTAAAATAATACTGTGTAGCACAGATAAAAATACTTGGATATGATCCTCACAGCAAATAGATACTATGTGATTTTAACAAGTCGCTTGCTGAGTATCCATGATTACGGGTTTGATGTTAGCTGTTTCTTTTCCCTGCTTTGTTCTGTTGTTTTGTTTTTTTAACATTTTCCTTGGGACATTTACCTTTCTCCCCTACAACATTGCACACTCTTTGTTCAAAGTCATCAGAGTTGTTTTGTGATTTTTATTTTTAATTTTAATATTTTTAAGGCTACTAGCAAATATTCTACAATCATTGGGGCCTTTGAGTGAAGGTTCTCATTTACATGTGCATCAGTTTATGTATTTCGGTTGGTAACACTTTCTAAACTACTTATTACTGCTATTATTGCTTAAACTACCTGGATTGAGGTAGTACAGTGATGATGCTCTAGTGTGTGTGGTAGCATAAAGACATAGTTTCCAGTTCAAGTCTTTTCATTGCCCAAGAGAGAGACAGAAGAATATCAGTGTTTCAGCATAAAGTATG